TTACTGAGATGAGAGAGACTATTCTTCTAGATGTAAAGATATTATCTAATCAGTATGAGAAGAACTTTCAACATTAACAGTTACAACATCAACATTCTAAATGTGGTTATTTACTCTATTTTTATTTCTTGTCTGTGACTGTTCAAAGTCTATCCAATATTCATAATTCTTTCACCAATGTTGATGACTTCTCTTTTTATCAGGTATTTATCTGATCATGGTTATAATTTGGCAACGGATTCGGGTAGTGTGATAGACACACAGAAGATGGTAAAGCGACTATTAGATGTATGTATCAATTTTTTGAACCTCTGCTGATGATTATTTAGGACATATGAATGAACAAGAAAAAAATGAATTATTTATAGCTTGACTTGAGAGAGATTGGGAGTGGAAATGGAGATATTAATCAGGGCAATATTGTGTTGCAAATACAAAAGATACGTAATGTAGCTGCGCCCAAAGGGAATGAAGAATCAAGAGCAGCTCCAAGAATGTTAAAATTATCGTTGACAGATGGAAAAAATAATTTTCAAGCCTTAGAAGTTGAACATATATCGACTTTGAGGTAAATGTATTAGATTGAATTCTTTTATAGCAAATTTGGTTACTTTTATATTATGCTAGATTAATTCATACTAAAAGCTGCTATGTATGAAATTAACAAAGTTAAATGTAAAAATATATAAGTATATGTATTTTGAAAAATTAACTATTTAATAATAATATTGTTACATTATTTAACAGAATATACAAGTATTATTTTATTATTAAAATTGATTATATTATATCATTGCATTTAGATACTTTATATAAAGCCATCTTTAACATGTACTAATTCAGTATAGTGCTAGTAGTTGAATATTAACTATTATTTCCTAATGTCGTTTCTTACAACTGTTTCTTCTAATCATCTTTTTTGTGATAGCTTAAACACACCACCTGGTACAAAAATACTGATAAAGACAGGAACCTTACCTGTATCACATGGACTTCTTTTGTTGAGACCATCGCATTTAATTTATGTACTTGGGGGAAAAGTTGCCAATTTAGTGGAAAAATGGGAATTAAATAAGGTAATCTACATTTTACTTGATAAGAGACATTAATATTTATTATAATGATTGTTAATTCTATTTAATATCGCATGACTGCTTTTGTTATAGAAATTAGCTTTGCATACTCGAGTAAGATCTGCTGAAGAAGGTGGACCACCACCGTGGATACCATTTGGTAAAAAAATCGTAAAACTATCGGAGCAAGATAAGAACTTTAAAGCTCTGGCAGAAAAAGAAAAACCTAGCAAAGAGAATACTGAATTTGAAACTCAGCGCAAAGATGCGATAGCGGAAGCTGCCAAACAAGGCAGTAAGAAAGTATTTGGTGGCGGAAATAAACAGGTTTGATTTGTTTTGTTTTTTTTTCATTTTTCCATTAAATTAAATGTTTACATTCTTGTCTAGACATCTAACTTATGTGCGCTTTTAGTTATTGGATCATAGCGTACAGAAAATCGTAGATCGTGGATTTACTATAGAGCAGGCAGAATACGCTTTGAGAGTTAATAGAAATAACGTAGACAAAGCTTTAAGAAGTCTGCAAAGGACCGACACTAAACATAAGTGAGAAAATTTATTTTTATTTTTCCTATTTATCTTTACTCAAACTATATGTTCAATTATTATCTAATTACAATCTTATTATAGTAGTGCCAAAGAATCTCGTGAACCACGAGAGCCACGTGGTAAACGGGAGAAGAAAGCCGAAGAGAGTAAACCTAGCAGTGGAAAAATATCTCTATTCGACTTTCTCGAGGATAAATTACCTGTGCAACCCGAAAGTGTCGAAATAACCAATTTGTCACAAAGTAGTTACATGCAAAATAATGAAAGTAATCAGGATCGTTTTGAATCGAGAGGTACTGAAGCGCAAAGTGGAAGAGGTGGACGGTACATAACTATCTTACTAAACGGATTCCTATAATATTTAATAAAATATTGTACTTCTAATATTAATATTTCTTAACAGGAATCAAAAAGGTGGTCGCGGTTATCAACCACCTCCGAGATATTCAGAGGAACATAGAAATAGTAAGAAGACAAATAATAGTAACTCCACCATGTATTCGCAATATAACGGTGCTAGTCACGCACCGCAGAACAAACCACCGCGGTTTCAACGTAACCAGGAATCTCAGTATCAGTATCAACACGACGGAGGTAGAGAAGCGTATCAGAAATCTACTCAGCCGAATGATTACAAAAATACGTTTGCTCATTCGCGCACAAGTAACGCAAACGTCGATAGTGGTAACGATAACTATAACAGAATCCAGGTTGAGTTACAGGGAAAGAATCTCGGTAGTAACAGAAACTATAATCACCTCGAGCCCGAGGCCAAAAATAGGCATTCTTATGATGCTTCTTATAATAGGCATAATCGAGCTCAACAAAATGGAACCCCTAAAGTATATTCAACTAATACAACTGAACAGAATTTTAAAAGTCAACCTAGATATCAGTCAAATAGTAACCCTGGGAATAAGATGTCCATGAATCCTAATGTGCAAAGAAACGAAAATTATGGTAACCCTAACATCACCGGTACATGGGTATGGCAAGTAGGTGACAAGTGTATGGCTAAATATTGGGAAGATAATAGGGTACGTATTATAGATTTTTTTTTATATGCAAATTTGTTTACATTAAAATGTGTGCTTCCAAAATACTTAGGCCATTTATCTTTTATACTTTTTCAATCAATCTCTCATATAAAAATTAAAGTTTACATGGGATGACGGTCGAAATCGAATCAAGAATCTGTTAACTATGTATAAGTCGATTATTTACACAGAACCATACATTGTTTCATCTTTTTCGTGTACTTTGCGCGTAATTTAATTATTTTTGTACGATATTTATAGTATTATAATGCCGAAGTTACTGGTGTTTCTGAGAGAACTTGCGTAGTGCAATTTAAGGGATTTGAAAATTATGAGGAAGTACTCCAGGTGGATTGTATACCAATAACAGATGATGTACGTAAAATAGCACAACGTAAAATTTACAATGATTGCTAATAATATTCCTTGTTATAATGATTGTGATAATTTTAGATTCAAGATCGTATTCCGGAAACGAGACGACAAGATCAGCGTTCTAATAATCGACAGCCACGTTACGATCAAAGTCACAATCATATAAATGGTGAGTAACAAAATCGTCCGTCTCTAGATATTAAATTTTGTATTACTTGTATCTTTCATATAAATTTACACGTGAAACATTGAAGTCGATGAAATTTAATTAAAAATGATGATTATGCAGCAGGTATGGAATTTCGACGAGGCGGAAGCGGTGCCGTTGGCGGAAATAAAGGATATAATAAGAAACGGACTCAGCAACGGAGTACACAACCAATTTATCAACCACCAGCGCAAAGAGGCCACAATTCTCTGCCAATTAATAATCAAAATAATACTCAACATAATTCTTTTCTTTAATGTAACTCTAGTCTCGCATCTTTAGTAAAAAAAAAGTAAATTCAGATCTTGCTAAGTATTGAGGCAATGCATTCGCTACTGAGGATTGATCTAACAGGTTGCCACACTAAGAGTTTAGATACCATTTATATTAACCGTTGCTAGGCGGCGAGCTGGGTGCCACATTTGAGTTCTATTAAAGCTGAATTGAATACGCGATAACTTAATACGAAGCAAGTTGGTTTTTCATAAAAAGGAGGAATTAGGAGGCTCTTACTGTAAAATATCGACTGTGTTCTCGAAATATTATATTATTTGTATTGTAGGGAAATTGATTCTTACTACTGCAAAACAGGGCAATGTCTGTACCTCGTCCACTTTAGCTGTAATACAGTTGTAATGAAATCTCGCTCGTTTTATTTTTCTGTAGCCACAAACAATCATCGAGAAAGAGAGAAAAAGAATATTTCGAAAAAGTAACAAGCTAAATTAATTTTGCACCACTATTAAATCGAACCGATAAATTAAACTGAAATAACTTGTTTTAAATTAAGATTAAGTTGGATATTAAATCTTATTTAAAATAAATTGTTAGTACAAATTTTAAAAATTATGTTCCCAAATTTAAATACACTAGTCTGATATTTTTTAATGAATATAATTTTGCAGAATTATCCAAAACTTAAATTTTCTTTGTACATTTACATATTTTAATAGCGACAAAATATATTTAAAAAAAATTTTAATTTAGGGATTTTTACCAAATGATAACAAATGCTGCGCGGGAGTTGGTAAAGTAAAGGTGCTTTTTCATGCTGACGCTCGACACTGATTTTTGGCGTCAAAATAAGTCCATGATGCTTGGTATTCGTCAATTTTGATCACGTGACGTATTTTGACGCTCAAATCGACCGTCAGCAAATTTTTCAAGCCTGTTGATTGGCAAAGAAGTCCGAGATCCTCTCTATCTTGTATCCAATTAATACGCTTGAAAAATTCGTCGTACGACAAAAAACGGATGCAAGTAATATTGACCTAGAGAGCAAAAACTACAAAGATCCGATTTATCTCATTCTCCCCCATTATAAAAATTGTTTATACTACCTGATAGAAGACATTTTTTAGTTTATACTTGCGTTTTTAAAATTTTATTTTTATTTTTTGTTTAAGAAATATTGTTTAAAAACAAAATAATATGTCGGTATCGGCGACTTTCCTCTACTATCAAAAATTGTATTAAAATTTGTATTTTGATACAAAATTTGCAAAATAACGAAATAAAATTAAAAATATAAATATAAACGTAGAATAACAAATATATAAATAGTTATTCGCAAAAACAAGCCACTATAATTAATAATAATTCGTTTTTTTTTGTGTTGAGTATATTTACAAAGAAAAGAAGATCGCCAATAAAATTGATCAGCGGGCGTGGGGTGAAAGACCTCTAAAATTTAAGTGCTCATTTTAGTCTATCACTTTAAAATTACCGCGGTGCAAATGTTTAAATGGTCGTATTTGGAATCTGCGCAGAATCGTACGAGATTCGTCTCGGGAACGAGCACATCCATCGTGAAAGTATGTATACTTCCACCATGAGCACACCTATCTTGCTTTCATTATGAACCATGGCAGAGAGCAACAAAGATTAACAGAGAGCAACAGAGCTCTAACCAAAAAATGTGCTCCGAAAGCTAAGAGAATCATATATTTACGATTAATATAAGAATTGAGTTTTGTGTATATTTCACAATACAAAATCTGATTAACAATGCGGGTTGGATTAGCTCTATTAGCAGCCAAGTATACAAATAAAATACCATACAGATTCAGAGGGTAAGTACTTTTCTTTCATGTCAATTAATTCTCATTTAGTTTAACGAGTTAGGAATCATTTAATTTTTCATAACGATTTGTATCGTCATGTTGAATACTCCTAATTCTGTAAATCTTTGCTTCATACAGGAAATATCGTATAGTTAAAAAACCATCTATGGACGATTTATTTAAGATGAAGCAAGATTTTGAAAGGGAAGAGCAAAACATGTTGATTCTACGGCATCCCTATCTCACACTTGAACAAAGTTATGGTTACATGAAGGACATGTACCCCGAAAGCAGAAAGCAAAACTTTCTCGAGAAGGTACGGGCAGAAAATCGTCAGAAGTTCCAAAAAGAAATTACTATCGTCGAACGTCTGTGTCACATGAGAGTTACAGAAGCATGGGATTAAAATCTTTCTACAGATATATGTAATTATGTTTCGTGAATTGTTTTAGATTTAAGTTAAATCAACTTTGAATCCAAGAACATTTAATTTGCTTTTTTTTTGTTTTTGGTAACATTTTGGATTAGCATAGTGCCGAGTATATTACATAAAGTAGAGGAAAGATAGCATAGTGAAATATGTTACATAAATTTATCTAATAAAATTGTCGTGTTGCAAATTATAAAGTAAAAATTCGAACTAATACTGTAACATTGTTTTAAATTATATTGCTAAACAATTCAAGCTTAAACATCGACTAAAAAGCTTTCTTGAAATCGAGTTGATACATCTTTTGGTTTAGTTCTCATCCATCCAAATGGATCTGTATTAATTTCTTCTTCTGTTAAGGTTTTTCCCTCATAAAGTGAATTTGCAAAATCTGCCACAACTGGATCGGCATTAACACTGCTAATTGCTATTACTTTGCCACCTTTAAGATAGTAAGCGAAGAATTCCAATTTATCCAGTGAGCCATGAATCTTTATATTAGTAGGTTTTCCAAAGCCTGAAAATAAATGAATAAAAATTGTTCAATTGTTAATTTTTTACAAAACTCAGTTATTACAATTTATATATAATTTATACAAAATATGAAACGTGTGGGAACATGTTATATATATGTAAATTTACCTGCATATCTGTAACTTTTACCCAGTAAATTCGTCCAGAAGAATGGTACAGTCTTCAAAGAAGTTTCTTTACCGCATATATTTAGAGCTGCAATTTTTCCATGATAATGAGCTAGAGAATAATGACCTATCGCAGCGAATGTGTCGTCAGATCCAAGTATCGGTGCATAAGCTATGTCACCTCCAGCATATATATTTTCCACATTTGTCCTTAAATGCTATAATTTGATTGATATTCAATTATCTAATATGAAGTATATACTAAGAAAAGTACTGTTTTCGAATGTTACCTTATTTACTGGAATAGAGCCATCGTCCCTCATTGTGACAGAAGATGTTTTCATCCAATCAGTATAAAAAGTGGATCCTATTCCAACAATAACTATATCTGCTGATAGAATTTGGCCGTCTGTAAGTTCGACCTTAGCCAAAACGTTTTCTTCACGTTCCTTAGGAATAAATTGCTTAATATTATTTTCGAAGATAAACTTCACACCTAAAAACATTTATTATTATTATCTAATCAATACTAATGCAGACCAATACATAATGTATGTTATGTATAACATATAATACCTTTTGCCTCAAGCTCTTTTTTAATTCTATTACCAATGACCTTGCCGAATATTGCATTGAGGGGTACAGTTTCACGTCCTATTACTGTGACAGACGCGCATTTATCGACGCAATAAGCTGCGGCTTCCATGCCAATAAAGCCTAATCCTAGAATAACTACATGCTTCTCGGGGGATAGAACTGCATATACGCCTTGTGAATCTGTGTAATTTCGTAGAACAAAAATATTCGATAAATTTACTCCAGGTATATTTAACGTTCTCGGTTTACTGCCAGTGCACACAAATAGATAATTATACATGAAATTCTCGTTATTACTCAGCTTGACAATATTTCCAGTCGTATCTAAATCTATAACAAAATAAAAAAATATAGTACAGAATATGAAGTAACATGTGATATATATATATATATATATTGAGATCGATTTGTCTTTTCTATGTACCTATTGCTTTTACTCCCAGTTTTGTTTCAATATCGTGTTCGTTGTAAAACGAGGGCGATCGTAATGTCGCAGAATGAACATCGAAATTTAACTTTTTAGATACCTTTATCCGATCATAAGGTATTATGTTCTCTCTGCATATCATAATGATGCGTCCTGTAAAACCCTCCTGTCGCAAACTCTCTGCACAGGTAGCACCCGATGGTCCACCGCCAACTATTACGACAGTCTTTATACTTTCAGGATCACGTGCAGACATATCCTTTATACGTCTGTTATTATATAGCTCTTTACATTTGGCTTTTACGTGGACAAGACCACTCTTGTCTACGCGAACCTGTTAAAGTAATACATAGAGATAGCATGTTAAACAAATACGGGATAAGAATAAGAATAAAATCTTGATAAGTTTATAAATTACTCGAGTACCTTATAGCATGGTAAAGAATCCAAGCCTGGATAATCTTCAATGTCCCCAGTTTTAATATTGAAACATGCACCGTGCAATGGACATCTCACTCGTCCTTCCCCTAACGCGCCGGTATTTAGCAGGGCACCGTAATGCGTACATCTGGTACCAACCGCATGCAATTCTCCATTCTGTTTAATCAACAAAATTTTCTTTTCAGTACTTCCCAATGGTAGCATTTTCATCTCATTTTCATTGATATCTTCCTGTTTGCACACCACTTCCTCAACGTAGGTGTCATACTCTTTTGAGGTACCTAAGAAATAAATAAAAAATAATTTATAATTTAACTATTCATATCTATATATTATAATAATTATATCTATAGCTTATTATAAACGTATATTATTAGAGACACAGCAACAGGTGACTCACAATAAGAACATGCATGATAAGAATATGCACCGCAATCTGCGAGGCATATTCTTAACTGTATTGTATTCATTGTAATATTCTTTCTCTTTAATTTTATTCGACATGACCAAAACGAATTTTGAGGGAATTACAAGAGTAAAAAACCATTGTAACTATGAATCATAATATAGTCAATTCTAATCCTATATTAGCATGTGGATATAAACATAGACAAACATAAAAGCGAACATGTGATATTTTTTAATAACTATATGTAATCAGCCTAATGCATACAATAGAGTTTCATTCAATTTCTCCTCTATAACAGTAAACAATAGAATACTCATGACAAATTAATTTACGAGCTTGGACGCGTTCAAGTTCCCAATGTTTCCACCTGAGTATTTCTTAAGTAACATTTTATCCTTATTTAACATTCGATAAACAAAAATAAAATGGGTACCTGGATGACATTCGAATGGGACTCGGAATAGCCCTTGAAATTTGAATGGCACGCGATATCTCCGATCAATTGCATCATCAAATATTTCTATTGCGATGCAAAAATTTTCGTAAGAAATATAATAAATATATAACTTGCGTCGATTATGTGACGCATATGACATATATAAGGAAATCTTGGGGAAAAATGAAATCTCTGTTGTTGTTATCTCGTACGTGAATCGGGAGTCGTCCTCTCCGATAGGTTATCAATGATTTAATAAATGATGATTATCGGCGATAACATTCCCAGAAAGAGAGAGAGCTGCGGAGAGACAACCGAGAGAGACTATCTCGTTAGGGGACGATTAAATTTTCTATTGACTTCGTGTAGGTGCGTCGGCGCGATTCCCGCACGTGGCATGGATGTTACGTTGATTGTGCATAGTGCATCGTCATGCATTGCCTGACGCTTCAAAAAATGCATAATATTAAAAACGCAATGAATATTAATGCAGTGAATAAAAATAGAAAAATA